GGGTTGCAGCTGTGCATGTGGGGGACGGTATGGGGGGAGGGGATCAACTCTTGGCCAGATAGAGCAGGGGGTGTCAGTTTATTAGGGGGCTCTGTTCAGGGTTTGTCTGGGATGTGGGTTGTGGTCCAGCTAGAGAAGAATATGTTTTGTAGGTAGTGGTCTATTTTCTGAGAATGAGGGGCACCATGACCTGGAAAAACAAAGAGTTAGGGTCAAGTACAGACACCTGTGAGTTTTGTCTGTAAGCTTGGTTGGGGAGGGGGCTTTGAATAGAACCCTTTCACTTCCTAAATCATAAATAAAAAATCCAGAAAAAAATTAATATGGAAAAGCAACCATCATAAATTTTCTTATAAGTGCTGTTTAAGTATTGAGTATTAACAGATTTGAAACCCTGATAGAGAATAGTGCAACAACTGTTGTGAAGAATTAGAGTGAATCAATAAAACATAAACATTGTAAAGAAGGAAGCAATATTTATGGAATCCATTCCTTGGAGAAGATTAGACACAAATGTGAAAATTAGACCTGTGCAAAAAGAAATACAATAAATGAATCCTTTCTGGAATAAAATGTAATAAAAATACTAATTTGATAGCATTACCATACCTTATTAAAATCTTTTGTTTTGGTATTTCAGGTTTCAGAATACATAGAAAATAGTCATGTCAAGCAGGACAGCCAAAGCATCCAATCCACTCTACTTGTCTCTTTGAAAGTGTTGAGTTTATCAGTTGCTCCATTTTTTTCTCCTGATATGGTTACTTTTTTTTTTCTTTTTTTAATGTTCAGTTAGCCACTGTGTAGTACATCATTAGTTTTTGATGTAGTATTCAATGACTCATTAGTTGCATATAACATCCAGTGCTCATTACAACACGTGCCCTCCTTAATACCATTTCTCTTGCAGTGTCTTAGATTGTTTCCTGTCAACTTTAAAAACTACCTTATTATTTCCCCAATCTGTGAAAGAAGCTTTGACTGCATGAGAACAAGAACAGAGAAGTAACTGTATAATACCTCACGGTTGTTTAGTGGTGTATTTTTGACTTCATGAGACATTAAAGTAATTAGAGTGACAAAGTTTAAGATCATAGGCAAACTTTCATATTTTCATGTAATACCTAAATTTGTGCCATTTTAAACAATTTGTTATTGTAGACTGTAAGCCACTCATTCACATATAGAATTAGTTTTTCATGGGGCTTCTGGGTGACTCAGTTGGTTAAACATCTGACTTCAGCTCAGGCCATGATCTCAGGGTCCTAGGATGGAGCCCCATACCAGGCTTCCTGCTCAGCAGGGAGTCTGCGTCTCCTTCTGCCTCTCCCCACCACTTGTGCATGCACACTCTCTCTCAAAAAACAAAAGAATTAGTTTTTCACAAATTAAACACAGCACTATAATAAAGGAAAATGTAACAAGTATGTGAGGGAAGTTATGCCTTGAAATTCTTCTGACAAACCATTTGAACACTACTTTTGTGGTTTGAAATCTCTAGAATTGAGTAGAGACTTAGTTCCTCTACCTACTTACCTTTTTAGAATGAAATTGCACAGAGACTATAAAATGAATTTGCATTTTTGTTTTTCATCTAAAATTTCAGAGTTGCTTATTTTGTTTCTGCCTTAGCTTTCTCTGATTGTCATGGTTTTGTCCACATATGCTTGTTGCCTATGCAACCACTAGGTATTGCCTATAAAAAACCTCACTCAAAGAGCATTAGCATTGCTGAAGCTTTTAGAAAATTTTAATTTTATCTATCTGTTTTCATTGTGGTTTCCCTATCAGTTTCCAAACTAACCTTAGACTATGGTAGGAATGGGATGTGGGAGAATGGTAAAGAAATCTAAGGTTATCTTATCATTTGTTAATGAAAGAGAAAATTAGAGCCAGGTAAAGGTATGTGTATAGGAATATCTTCCCTGAATATCTGAGTTAAATTGATCATGCTAACATAAACTAAGCAGTGATTTTTTATATCCATGTTTGGTAACTAAATTTCTGTATTGGTCAGTCAAAGAAGCAAACAGCATTTTAAAGGAAAACTTTTCTAATTTTAAAGATTATAATACATTTTCAGGTGGTAAATGTAAGGGGTTGGAATCAAAATCTGGAGATTGAGGTTATTTAATCATGCAGGTTTACATCTTGTTAGAGGGAAAGTTGAGTTTGTCATGCATTGATTGAACCCTGAATTAAAGACACTCTGGAATATTTATATTATGAAATATAAACTCTGTGAGGGCAGAGATTTTTGTCTGATTTGTTCACTGATTTATTCTCAGTGCCTAGAAGAATGTCTGGCATATTAAAAAAAGTTTAAATAATGTTTGTTGACTAAGTGACTAAACCTTTATGAAATTAATTACTAACTAGAGATTAAATATTCTTTCTAGGTTTGCAATATGGATATTTCCTTAAGTTTTAGAAATGTCATTGTCCTTTTTTCCAATACTTTCTATTTTTTAAAACTTCTGAAAGAATTTCAAGTGATAAAACACATTTAAAAATGTTTTATTTGATGATGTTATTAAAGAAAGAGTGGAACAGATTTAGAATGGGTCGGCAGAGGGGGACTGCTTGGAATTAGGTCACTTTCTTAACTCTTCTTCTTGTGTAGAGATATTGCAACATGCATGCAGTGTTTGAAAAATGGTCTGTAGCATTCTTCTACCAGTTGTAATAATGTGTATATGCTTAAGGGTAAGATAAGAAAAGAGTAGTAGTTTTAATTCCAATTGTCACTATCCCATTTTTATTTTTGCTTATGTTTGTATAGTACTTACAAAATCACACAGACACTGAATTATTTTAGATGTCCTAGATTCATGTTATATAAGACCCAAATATATTTGTGCATATTAACACAATAAGTATAAATGGGTATTTTTATATGGGGCCAATAATTCTAAAGAGATTAAATCTTGAGAAAATTTTATATTATGTAATCCCAGTGTTCATCATTGAGCAAATGGGCTAAAAATACCACAGGCAATAATCATTTTGTGTTGTTTGCTAAGATACAGAATTTCTTCAGTATTAGAATTACTCAGCATTAGAATTACTATTAAAATGTTTTATAAATGGCATGAACTGCTCAACACAGGAAAGTAGGTGGACTCATATATATATTTCTTAACTTGGGTGATAATTCCTTAAAGTGAGGTGTTTCAAGTTTATCTGGTTAATTTCTTGGTTCTATTAATGACCTAAACTGTTTCAATTATTGTAACAAATACATTTATTCTATGATTGCAAATAGGAAGGTTTCTTTTTTCTCACTTTTGTGTCTTCTGACCTGTCCACATGCATATTTTTTAAAAATGCACTTTCATAGCTATACAGTGGAAAATTATTTAATGTAATACATTGTCTGCCATATTCAGACCATAATATTTATAGCAAGTTATTTACATCATTTCATGAGTCTTCCTGTTTTTAGAGCTATTACTAGAATTTTGTTAATGCTATCAACTACCAATAAATATTGAAAACTTCCTTAATTATATACCTATGTGCATTAATAATTTTCTGTAGTGAAATATTTTTTTTTCTGTAATGGATTTTTAAATGATCACCTGTTGGCTGAGCCTTTAAAAGTTTTGATGCATTCATAGCTGCATTAATTCATTTTTTTAATTTAAATTCAAGTTACTTAACATATAGTATAGTATTGGTTTCAGGAATAGAATTTAGTGATTCATCACTTATATATATCACCCAGTGCTCATCACAAAAAGTACCCTCCTTAATGCCCATCACCCATTTAGTCCATCCTCCCACCCACCTCCCCTCGAAAAACCCTCAGTTTTTTCTCTATAGTTAAGAGTCTTTATGGTTTGCCTTCCTTTCTGTTTTTATCTTATTTTGTTTTTCCTTTCCTTCCCCTAGGTTCATCTGTTTTGTTTCTTAAGTTCCACATATGAGTGAAATCCTATGGTATATGTCTTTCTCTGGCTGACTTATTTCACTTAGAATAATACACTCTCATTCCATCTATGTCATTGCAAATGCAAGATTTCATTTTTTTGATGGCTGAGTAATATTTGATTGTATATATATACCACCTCTTCTTTATCCATTCATCAGTCAGTGGACATTTGGGCTTTTTCCATAATTTGGCTATTGTTGATGATACTGTTATAAACATTGGGGTACATGTGCCCCTTCCAATCACTATTTTGTATCCGGTAGATAAATACCTAATAGTGCATTGCTGGGTCATAACGTCATTCTATTTTTAACATTTTGAGGAACCTCCATACTGTTCTCCAGAGTGGCTGTACCAGTTTGTGTAAGTTTGTATAAGAATACCAACAGTGCAAAAGTGTTTCATTTTCTCTGCACCCTTGTGAACATCTATCGTTTAATGAGTTTCATGAGTTGTTAATTTTATCCATTCTGACTGGTGTGAGGTGGTGTCTCATTGTGGTTTTGATTTGTATTTCCTTGTTGATGAATGATGTTGAGCACCTTTTCATGTGTCTGTTAGCCATTTGGATATCTTCTATGGAAAAATGTTTATTCATGTCTTCTGCCCATTTCTTAACTGAATTATTTGTTTTTTGGGTGTCAGTTTGTAGATATAAAAACCCATTTTAATATGATCTACTTTCAGTGTATAGACACAAATTCTCAAAGTTGGAATGTCTTCTAGTCCAGCTCTCCCACTGAATGTTTTGGAACCTATCTACCTAATCATAGATACGTAGATCTAAACTGGTTATCTAGCTTCTTACTATCTCCTGAAAACTGTTTTTATTTTTCCAGAATGCTTTAATAGGCAGTTGTTTACATTGATCTGAAAGTTGCCTCCCTGTAATTTTTACCTATCCTTCTTCCTCTCATCCAAAGAAAGAAAACTTTAGTCTTTTCACATGGTAGTCCTTCTCATGTTTAGACATGTGTCACATCAACCCTTTCCTTTCTCAAAGGACTTCTCTTCTTTAATCCAAACTTTCTGAATCCCTCATATGTCATGATTCTTTGTCTCTTTTGAGGTACAGAACTGAACACAAGGACTATTGTATAAAACATTCATTACCAATAGAAGAGTTACATTTGAAAGTCATATTATAATAAAGAATAATGATTATACTTTTTGATTAGTCATAAATATACGTTACTTTACTTAAGTATTGAATTAAGTGTTTTTAATTATTTTTATTAACTTTATCTATCTTGGTATATCTTTTATATATTTTATCAATGACGACCACTTTTACAAATACTGAGTCTTTTAATTACTGGAGGTATGTTGTATAATTTACCTTTTATCTTTATGAAAAACGCATAACATTATTTAAGAGTCAATTGTGCTAATATTTTAAGGATTTTAAAACTGAACATTTAGTTAACATACATTTAATGGTTGGTTGGCTTTAATAATTTCTTCTTCCTCTTCTTTTTTTTCCCATTTCTTTTTGACAGTTTTCTGTGGGTTGATACAGAGAACCATCACAATTGTGCCTGGTATGGACTTGTTGTCTGGGACGTATATATTTGCGGTCCTTTTAGCATGTGTCGTATTTCAGTCTGGCGCCCAGGAGAAAAACTACACCGTCCGAGAAGAAATGCCAGAAAATGTTCTGATAGGCGACTTGCTGAAAGACCTCAACTTGTCACTGATTCCAGACAAGTCCTTAACATCTCCTATGCAGTTTAAGCTAGTGTATAAGACTGGTGATGTGCCACTGATTCGAATTGAAGAAGGTACTGGTGAGATCTTCACTGCTGGAACTCGCATTGATCGTGAGAAATTGTGTGCTGGTATCCTGGTGGAAACCCGTTGCTTTTATGAAGTGGAGGTTGCTGTTTTGCCAGATGAAATATTTAGACTGGTTAAGATACGTTTTCTGATAGAAGATGTAAATGATAATGCACCATTATTCCCAGCAACAGTTATCAACGTATCAATTCCGGAGAATTCGGCTATAAACTCTCGATATGCTCTCCCAGCAGCCATTGATCCTGACATAGGAATAAATGGAGTTCAAAACTACCAGTTAATTAAGGTATGTTTTAAAAACACTTTGTTCAAGATAATTCATTTTTAAAAGGCAAAATAAATAAGTAAATAAATAAAAGGATCTTTGTGTACTTCAAATTTTGAGTAAACCATCACCCCAATTTTTTTTAAGTTTAAGCATAGTGGAGGAAACTCATCAATGCAATTCTTGTGATTGCATGAAGTTTATGAATTTTTATTTTATGTATATTTATTTTCAAGCAGTTGCTTATGTTTCCCTTAACAATATACTATAGTTGTCAGATAAGGAGCTCAGCCTTGCTACTTGCAATAAATAACTTACCCAATACTTTACTTTTAATTTGTCTAGTCATGACTCTGACACAAGGTGGACCTAAATAAGCAAATGTAAACATTAAGAATGAATACACAAATCTATCAGTTTTACTCAGTGATCATTTTAGATAGGAAATTTTCTCTCGCCATTTGAAAAAATGTCAAAGAAATTTATTTGAGTGGTGAATAGAACATTTTTATTACTAATGTTTCTATACATATATAGAATAATAAATATTCTTCATGGTGATTTCAAGTCAAGACAAGATTTTTAAGCATCTCTTGAGTCATCAGAATGAGATTTAATTTTAGCCAATGTGATGCTAATGTTAAACTTTGTTCTAATTCTTTGAAAACATAGAATATTCATTTGCTATAAAGGGTATGTAAGATTTTTAGCCAAAAAGTTTCAGTTTATCTGAAGAACCTATTTTGGTCTGACTTGGGTCTTGGGATAGGGAAGGCAGAAGGAAGAATAGGTGGAATAATTGTATTTGAAATATGTGCAGAGGGATCTTATTTATCAAGTGAATGGGTGATTCCTTTTAATCACCTATATAGTACATAGGATAGTAGGAAACTCAGATTTGGATATTGAAATAGTTCAATGCACTTGAATGATCCTGGAAAATATGTGAAAGAACAAATGTTCAGACTTAATATAGATTAGTTAAGGAATTTTTAAAGTTTCATAAACATTTTCTGATTACTCACTATCAGATTATTATGATGAACATAATGGCCAATATTACAAAAACACTCTAAGAACACAGAAATATTTTATGTATATCATCTGAAGATTTTCGCTTAGAAGATGTATAATATTGGAAAACTGCTCAGCTGATGATGATATGTTGTAAAGACATATTTGTTTATAAATGCATTCAGGAATAGAAGGTTATAGATTTCTTGAGCTAATTCAAGTGAAATGCATACTAGCACATGAGTATAAGAAGTAAAAACAGAAAGAAGGGATAGAAGATTTATAAATGAGCATTTTTTAGGTAAGACCCCTGCAAAGGTATCTCCTTATCTTATGAAATGGGAAAATATGCAGGAGTCGGAACAATATGGATCACAATTTTGTGCTTAATGCTGACTAGATATGTCACCTCCAGCTTAATTTTTCTGACCTTTAGTTTCTTCAATCATAATATGAGGATGTTGATGTACATGTCACAAAGGCAGAATTGGGAGAATAAGTACCCAGTAGAAAGTAGATAGACCTGCCGATGATTTTTGGAGATGCTTTATTGTTTATAGATATGTGATATTTATCACTTTAAATTGTAAGTTGTATAGCAGAGTAGATACTATCTCTAAAGCAACACTATCCAATGTAACTTTCAGCAATGATAAAAGTTCTATAATCTGTGATAGCCAATATGGTAGCTGTTGGCAATACATGGCCATTAAGTACTTAAGATGGGGTTAGTGCTACCAAGTAACTGAATTTTTAATTTAATTTAATCTTAATTTTAATAACCACAAGTGGTTAGTGGCTATCATATTAGATAGCAGAATGAAAACACAGAATAAGTTTATTTGGAAAATAAAAAATAACATATAAAATCAGAATGGGACCTTACCAAATTCAAATCAGGTATTAGTAATACAGTCTCTCCACCAACCATCAAGACAAATGTATTGCTTTGAAATGCAGTGTTTTATTATTTCAAATAAATTATTTCTAAGAATAATTTTGTCATATCTCCCTCAGCATAGCATAACAAATTTACAATACATTTCTGATTTGTCTTGAAAGCTGCTTAAGAAATTTAAATAAAACAAATAAACCTATTGGCATAACTTTAGCTTTGTTAAAATCCGTTTTCATTTGAATTTCTTTGAGATATTATCAGCAAATAATAAAAAGACAGGCTCACTAGAGGTTATTAGATGAGTCTTAGAATTGCTCTAAAATTTCATTCTGTTTTAGAATGTGTGATAAGGCAAAAGTGAACTACATGATCTACTTAAAGTACTGAGGCATTTGGATGGCTCCATGGACAAATAACTGTCTTGACTGCTTATTAAAAATAATGGGTATGACAAAGATTAATGAGTATGGAACGTAAAACTTAGCCCCAGGCATGCAGAGGGCTATGACATGGATGACATTAACTGAGTATACTTTGACTTCAAAAAGGTCTTATCATGAAAGTGTTATGTATGCTGAAGGGATAGGAAGATTAAATAAAAAGAAAGAAAATAAACATGTTATGATTTATCCATAAACTTTAATAAGTGTTACAAGTAGGCCAACCATAATAATAACTTCTGTCCTGCAGAATAAGGTAAAAATTTAATTAATATTAATTTGTTCTATTTTTGTTGAACAGACAAGACTGTAAAATCACAGTTTATCCTAACTAGGGATATATAAAATGTATATGTAAAGTTCAGATAGGAAAGTGAGAGAAGGGGGAGATATAGGGAAAATTTTTAGGGAAAAATAATTCAATTTACACATGAAGGGGTCTTGTTACTGACAATTCTATATTTATTAACTGAAAATAAAGGCAGTGGTGGAAAAGATTTATTGAATGTATCAAAAATGTATATAAGTAACATGAAACTTAGAATATTTATCTTAAAAATTAATATATAAATATTTAACTTAATTTTTACTTTTTTGTGATATTATATATGCTTTGGCATAAAAGCATCATTATTGTACATTTTGAATACTTTGAAAATGCATTTCAGAGTAATAATTTATTTTGCTTATGTTCATATGACTAGTAAATGATAAAGTTGGGGACCAGAATAAGGTCTTCTGACTCTTAGATTTAATTGACAGACAAGTAGATAGGTAACCTTGAGGATGGGGATCACAACAAGTTCATGATATAAGAGGAAGGAAGAAGAAAAAGAGTCAAAGAAGAAAAAGGAGAAAGTGAGAGATGGAAGAATGAAGTGATTACCAAATGATTCTGCTTAGTACAAAGAAAATTATGTTAAAACTTCTCTAGGTGACATTGGCAAGGTTAATTTTCAACTTTTTAAGAGATTAGGATACTTTTTTTTGAGAGAGAAAGAGAGAGAGAGTGCCAGTACACCCATGGGTGGGAGGAGGGGGAGGAGCTAGAGAGGGAGAGAGAATCTTAAGCAGGCTCCATGCTGGGCATGGAGCCCGCATGGGGCTCCATCTCATGATTTTGGGATCATGACCTGAGCCCAACTCAAGAGTTAAATGCTTAACCAACTGAGCTACCCAGGTGTCCCAAGATTAGGATATTTTCTAAGGAAAAAAAAGATTCATTGAAAGTTTCTAATGTTGGTTGCCACTTAAAAAAATACCTAGAAGCAAAAATCTTCACTTTTCCCTATGTTTCAAGTAAAGTCCTGCTATGATGCAAATTCCTCATGGTATTTTGATATAATTTCCCATAATTTGAACTACCTGTGCTAAATATTTATAACTACATATATCTATCTATACATACATATGTGTGTATAAATAACATATATACACATATACATACATATATGTTATATATTTTATATATTATAAATATACATTATTTATATATATTATAAATATTATTGTTTATTAAATGTTATTAAATAATATATTTTTAAAATATTTTATTATATATTATATATGATATATACAGATATATAAATATCTGCATCTAATTGTGCAATTAGCAATTGAGCCTTTGCAGTATTTGAAGCTGTTGGTCAAGAGTAAGACATTACAGGGGAGCCTGGGTGGCTCAATTGGTTAAGCAACTGCGTTCGGCTCAGGTCATGATCCTGGAGTCCTGGGATCGAGTCCCACATTGGGCTTCCTGCTCAGTAAGGAGTCTGCTTCTCCCTCTGACCCTCCCCACTCTCATGTGCTCTCTCTCTCTCATTCTCTCTCTCAAATAAATAAATAAAATCTTTAAAAAAAAAAGAGTAGGACATTACAGCATCTCTTTAACTTTCACCTTGTTATTGTGATGGCCTGTTATTTATTAAGCTTTTTTCCACATTCTAAGTCTTGTTGACAGGGAAGACAATATTTTCACAAATAGAAATAAACTTCAAGTACCCAATCTGATTCAAGATATGGATATAAACCACAAAGACCTACTTCTTCCTATGGCTGGAACTGAGGGTAAATTGTGTAGTAATATTTCATGTCTTCATTTTCTGCTTCAGATTTCCATCTTCCTCACATATATCAATAATATTTCTATACTAGTCCAGTGACATGTGTTGATTGGTTCCCTTGAAGCAGGCATGACAATGTTTCAAAGGTTCACAGTTTATGCTGACAGAGCATGAAGATCAAGTTTTTCTCAGATCAGTGATCCTACTTGAAACCCTCACCCATTTTGCCCATTCCATAAAGCATCTTTATCTTTTCAACCAACCATAAAAGAAAATTTAATCTTGGGCAGGTTTTTTCACATAATCAAGATTCGGGCACTTATTTCTATTTTATTTAAAACCAGATATAAATATTTGGTCTTTACATTTAATGCTAAATGAGAACTAAATATCTTTCCTCTTGATCAAGAGTTTGGACTTAAGAAACTAAGGTTAGGGTGAGATTTGTTTTGAAGTCTGGGATTAGAAAATCCAAATTGTGAAAATCTTATCTACAATTAGATTTAGTAATCTTGAATTAAATTGCCAGGAATGAGGCGTCCAATAATATATCCTGGGGACAAAAAGCAAACAAACTTTATTATTCTGAAGGAACTATTATTTCTT